CAACCCATATTGGTTTTTCGATTCCAGGGCGGCCTTCGGCCGAATCTGAGCTCACCTTTGGTGGTGTGAACCCAAAACGATACAAAAACTGTCTGATACAAAAACTGTCTGAGATGGCATAAAGTCGGTCAGAACCAAGATAATCACGAAGCCTTCGGGGGATACTGGGATTTCGTGCTAGAAAGAGTCACGTTAGGAGGATCAATCCTAGCTTCTTGCAGTGTAGCAATGGTGGACTCCGGAACCACCTTGTCCATCGGCCGACAAGTAATGGTACGGAGCCTTGTATATACGCTCGATCTGGAATGTTTCATCTATACCGAGAGCGTCGAAGGCTTTGAAAAAATTGTCTGCAATGATCCATTTGGTTATGATGTTGCTGCTGCTTATTGTTCTGAAAGTGAATCCATGCCGTCATTGATATTCGCTGCCGGTGGGAAAGAATACCACTTGACTGCTTCAGAGCTCTTTAGAAAATTGATATTGCAGGCCATCCACCTATTTGTTTTATCAACTACTTGGAAGGAGTTCCTGGATATCCTGGGTGGCTACTTGGCATGAACTTTTTGCGGAAATACAACACTGTATTCGACTTCTGTCAAAAAGACTTGGGTTTGCCGGGGCCAGCACTCAAGAAAGCTACACGATTTGTGAAGCGGTTGCCATCTACTTTATTCGGGACGCTCCAGACGAAGCTGCAAAAACTCGTGAAATTCAACTTTCACCTGTGGCATAGCACATCGGAAATAGCGATAGTGTAGTCTTGTTTGTGATACAATACCTAATTTACGTTCAATTGTACTGTAGGCGTCCAAACCACCAAACGACAATCGCAATCGTAGAAACGGCAAACAATGAAGACATTATGGAATTCAAAATGCAAAAAAGAATTATCGATATAGTGCCAACCTGCAATGAAGATCGCTTTCTAAAAATTTCAATGCACTAGAGATTATCTAGCAACAAATTACAATTCCATACCGTCAAGATCAAAGTCGGATAGATCACCTAGGTCACCAAGGTCCATGTCATCCACATCTGGGGCCTCTTCTTCCTCCACTGGAAGTTCTGGCTCTTCCTTCTTCCAAAGTGAGAGATTCTACATTCAAGTTGGATTGGATGAACTTCATCATGCGCTTGCTGTGTGCTTCAGGGTCCGTCAATGGGAACCCATCGTTGAGCATGGCCATTTCGTGAAGAATCCAAGCGGCCTCTTCGACTTCGGGGGCAACGACGGATCGTCGGCATCTTCCTCTGGTGCACCTTCCAAGAGCTTGGTAATAAAAGGATGACGGGGGTTGATTTCAAAGACCTTGAGGGCTCTCATCGAAAAGTCACTTTGTCCGTGGCTGTAGGCTTGAGCTCGAGATTCGATGATGCAAAGTATCCAATGTCTCGATCATCAAGGCAGCGACTTCTTCAATCATTGAAGCATTTGGCCAAATACATGAATGGATACGCTAGCTTTTCCCCATGAGATCATCGCTTTCTTGCAAGTTTTGCAGCATTTGCATGGTATCCAGCCACGAATGATCCCTGGTGAATGCGATGGTATGGTCAGATCATCATTCTGGATAAGTTTGTGGTTCTCCTTTTCAAAGTGCGCCGCAGGCTCCACGGCATCGGGCTTCATACTAACGTGAGATGCTCAGTGATGGCTATAACGATGAGTTATAGAACATTGGCATAATCTAAATTCCAAGCAAACAGCTGTTGAATGATGATAATAGAAACGAAGGTATATTATAGTTTCAAGTTGAAACGCGTCCTGGGGGCGAAGGCAGTCCTTTTTTCTTTCAGAAAACAGTCGTCGATAAATTCCAAAAATCTGACGCGCGGCCACGAACAACTATGAACGCGAGCAAATTCCCCTTTGCTATTAATATTGGTTTTTTGGTGTCCTTAGTCAGTTGGACACAAGATCGATGAATGTCCGTAGTATCGCCTATTTTCTGTGGTTTCCGATCATCACATGACCACATACTGTAGCTTTTTTTGGCAAGGACTGGGAGAGCCACTGCCTGTCCATAATCTCTACTTCGCCTTCTTTACACAGCATCCAAGCATCAGATCGAGCGTCCAGAAGACAATCCAGAGACAGCATCTAACAAGCAACATCATCCTGTAGACACAAAAAGAATCATGGCACAGCAACACCGCATTCTAGAGGCTAGTACCCTATCGGCAGCCTTGTCCAAGAGCTCTGCACTTAGAGCCGTCTTGGAAGAGCATCGTTCCGTCCGCAATCGTAGTATTGAAAAGGTAGGACCCGTTATGAAAGGTCGCTTGGTGGCTACCAACAAAAGACTAGGAGTCCCACGTAGAGAGGGCGAACGGAAAGCCAGTAATCTGGCGGTATCAAATTGCGATGGTTCTTTCTACATCGTAAACGTCAAGATCGGAGGCCAATCACTGCCGGTAATTATTGACACGGGAAGCTCGGATCTATGGGTCGATTCCTCTCTTTGCGACGGGACCTGCACATCTTCCAGCATTAGCCGATACGACGCCTCCAGGTCATCTACTTTCCGACCAGTAGAGGCAACCAAATCGGACTTTCATATTGAGTACATGGATGATACCATTGTCAAAGGTACTCTTGGATTCGAAACTCTTAGACTAGGAGATATCGAGATCACTAACCAAGTGTTCGCCCAGGCTTCTTCCGTGATCAACAATACAAAGTTGTGTAACGAAGTTGGATTACTAGGACTTGGCCTTGGGGAGATCTCCAGTCAAAACTTCCCTGCTCTCCTCAGCAATTTGAAAGAACAGCAAATTACCATGTTCTCTCTATATTTGACCGATCACAACGACTACCAGCTTTTCATGAACAAAACAACCGATATTGCTCATCCGATTCCAGGCCCGCCACCAGCCTCCGCTGAATCTGAGTTCACCGTTGGCGGGGTGAACCCAAAACGATACAGAAACTGCTTGAGATGGCATGAACTCGGTCAGTTTCGAGCTAAAGGCAAAGCCTTCAAGGGATACTGGGATTTTGCCCTGGATGGAGTCAAGGTTGGATCGACTGAAATTCCCTCGTCCAGCCTTGCAATGGTGGACTCCGGTACCACCTTGTCCATCTCCTCACGAGAAACGGTAGGACGCATCGCGAAGAAGCTCGGTGTGAAATGTTTTGTGTGTACCGATAGCGTGGAAGACTTTCTTGAAGAAGTTCAGTGCGATGATCCATTTGGCTACGATTTTGCTGCTACTTACTGTTCTGAAACTGAATCCTCGACGTCTTTGACATTCGTTGCTGATGGGAAATCATATCACTTGACTTCTTCAGAGCTCTTCCGAGAAATTGAAGTTGACAGTCATTCACCTATTTGTACTCTCAACTTGGAAGGAGTTCCGGGATTTCCCGGGTGGCTACTCGGCATGAACTTTTTGCGCAAATACTACACTGTATTTGACTTCGGTCGGAAGAGACTTGGGTTCGCCGAAGCCACTACGAATAGTGCAACGGTTTGCAAAGCGGATTCGAGCTACTTTATCCATGACATTCCGGACGATGCTAAAACAATAACTTCTACCCCGTCCGCATCCCCAACTTCATACTATACCCCAACTCCCCATTACGCTACGTCTTCCAACAAAGACGTTTCTGGTGCGCTATCAGGATTTGTTTTCTTTGTTGCGGGTTCTTTTGCTGGGTTTCTATTTGTTGGGTTTTTCTGTGTCGGTTTGGCGATCGGGTACCGCCAACAAGCTCGAGCACCAACAACAAAAGGGTATTTGCAAGTGAGAACCACCGATCCAGAAGAGTGTACCCGTGAAGTTGAACTTTCACCTTTGAGATAGAGGCTTTGGAATGAATGACGGCACTGAAAACTTATCGGAATACAAAATGACAGGAGGAGTAAAACACTATCGATATATATATAGTCCCAACTTGCAGTCAAGATCGCTTTCTAAAAATTATAATGCACTAGAGATTATTATATCTAGCAGCAAATTACAGTTCCATACCGTCAAGATCAAAGTCGGATAGATCACCTAGGTCACCAAGGTCCATATCATCCACATCTGGGGCCTCTTCTTCCTCCACTGGAAGTTCTGGCTCTTCTTCCAAAGTGAGAGATTCTACATTCAAGTTGGATTGGATGAACTTCATCATGCGCTTGCTGTGTGCTTCAGGGTCCGTCAATGGGAATCCACCGTTGAGCATGGCCATTTCGTGAAGAATCCAAGCGGCCTCTTCGACTTCGGGGGCAACAACGGCATCGTCGGCATCCTCCTCTGGTGCACCTTCCAAGAGCTTGGTAATAAAAGGATGACGGGGGTTGATTTCAAAGACCTTGAGGGCTCTCATCGAAAAGTCACTTTGTCCGTGGCTGTAGGCTTGCGCCCGCATGATGCGTTCCATGTTGGCCGAGTGACCGTATTCGGCACTACTGGCAATGGCGGGAGTGGAAACCAAACGACTGGAAATGGCAATGCGCATAATGGAAGGTCCGTACAACTTCTTCAAGTACTTGGTGAGAGGCTTGAACTTTTTCTTGTAGAACTTTTCTCTTCGGGTGGCCAAATCCTTGTCGTCTTCGGTTTCGAGCTTGATGTTTTCCGTGGCAATGTTCTTGAACTTGGCAGATTCGAATTCGCGAACGTTGGAGGCCATGTATTCGTCAATTGGGTCCAAGAAGTAAAGAACTTCCACGTCCTTTTGGGAAAAGGTCTCTAGGAATTGGGACTTTTCGACACTTTCGACATCTTGTCCAGCCACAAAGTAAATTTCCTTTTGAAAGTCCTTCATGTTCTCGACGTATTGTTCCAAGCTGGTCCATCCATCTTCTCCAGTCTTTGACGACTTGAATCGCAAGAGCTTCATGATCTTGGGACGGTTGGGTTCGTCATCCAAGGCTCCCATCTTCAAGGATGGAGCAAACTTACTGTACCATTCATTGTACTTGCTGGTAGTAGCTGGAGCATCTTCGTCGTCTTCGTCGTCTTCAGCAGGCTTGGCTTCGGCAGCTTCCTTGTCGGCTTCCTTCATAAAGTTGCGAATCATTTCCAAAGCCTTGCGGACCACCTTCTTCTTAATGACCTTGATAATTTTGGATTCTTGAAGCGTCTCGCGATTGACGTTCAATGGAAGATCATCACTGTCAACGACACCCCGCAAAAAGGCCAAGTATCGTGGCAACAATTCGAATTCGTCACTGATCAAAACCTTTCGGACATAGAGGGAAAGACCCGACTTGTCCATTTCTTGCATACCCGTCATCCAGGCTTCGGGAGGAGTATCGGGCAGATACAAAAGAGACTTGAAGTTGATGTTACCCTCGGCATTAAAGTGCGACCAATGTTCGGCACTCGACGATTCGTCACGGGAAACAACCTTGTAAAACGCCTTGTATTCCTCATCGGAAATATCCTCCTTGGAACGAGTCCAAATGGCAGGATTTCCATTCAATTGTTCGAATTCGAAGGTGGTGACTTCCTTGGTCTTTTTTGGCTTTCCTTCTGCTTCTTCTTCTTCTTCTTCGACCTCCAAGTCGTCTTCTCCTTCCTTCTTTTCTTCGTCCTCGGCAGCAGGAGCATCATCCTCGTCGTCTTCAATTTCGACTTCCATGGTTTGCTCGGTGCGCAAGTAAATGGGGTGGGTGACGAATTCGGAATAGTGTTTGGCCAATGTTTGCAATCTGGTTTCATTGGCGTAATCAATGGCATCTTCCTTCAAAAAGAGGGTAATTTCGGTACCCCGCACCAAGGAAGTTCCACGAGGGTCGGCAAAGATTTGGAATTCCGACGATCCATTGGTGGTGGTCCAGACATATTGGGTATCGGATTCGGGGTGCTTGGAAGCCACTTGGACACGGTCGGCCACCAAAAAGGCCGAATAGAATCCGACACCGAATTGTCCAATTTGACTGACTTGGCCCGATTCGCCATCGGCCCCCTTGAGTCCTTGCAAAAAGCGGGTGGTTCCACTGCGAGCCACAGTACCCAAGTTGGAAATCATCTCATCGTGGGTCATTCCAATACCGGTATCCCGAATGGTCAAAGTGCTGGCCTCGCTGTCGAATTCAATTTGGACTTGGAGCTTCTCTTCTCCCTGAAGCAATTCGGGCTTGGAAATGGACAAGAATCGGACCTTGTCCAAGGCGTCGCTGGCATTGGAAATCAATTCTCGCAAAAAGACGTCCTTGTTTTGATACAAAGAATTGACCACAATGTCCAACATCCGGGAAACTTCGGCTTCAAACTTGAAGTTTTCGGCATCGTCGGGTGCTTCGTAGCTGTCTTCGACGACGGGAATCTTATTGGCAGCCTCTTCTGCTGCTGCTGCTGCTGCTGCTTCTTCGTCCGCCAATACCAAGGAGGAGGATTCTACATATAATATAACAACAAGAGTAGCATTCATTCGTTAGCATGCGTGTATGCAGTTGGATTCAATTGTCATTTGTGTCATTTTTTTTGACAATGTACAATCTTACGTTGGTGTGGAAGAGGAGCATGTGTAAAGGCCAATAGGGCCATGGCGTGGAAGGCTAGCCGATCAAAGCGCATCTTGGGTTATTGTGATTTGT